ATAACAAACTGAAAAACGAAACGTAACATCCGACAACTGCTTCCCTCTCTCTTCCCGTCTCATTCGCGTTCGAGGCCGCGGCCAAGTAAGACGTGTAACAGCAGAGGTAGTGTGCACCTTCCAATATTTAGTCATTTTAAGGTCTGAACAGTTTTATTTTGTGATTGATTCAGTGGGTGTTTGATGGAAATTTTCTGTAGTAGTTCTGTTTTTTGTTTTGTTAGGGTGGTCGGGACTTCAAGTTATCCGTATGACATCAGTTGCCATTTGTTTGTTCGTTGATGTCACTTTTAAAGGATCGTGACAATCAGTTGATATAATTGCGTTCTCCTTTGCAGATGACAAAAGTTATCACCTGTACATTGTGTGAGGAACCTTATGATTTGGAAGACCATGTACCTGTTGCTCTCCCGGCTTGTGGACATTCTTTTTGCAGGCTGTGTCTAATAAAGCTGAAGAGAAAAAATGCTGTCCTCCGATGCCCCAATTGCAGGTCAGTGTTTCGTAAATTTTGTTAGGCCTCGGTCGCGTTTGAGAGACTTTTTAAGAATATAAGTATATATATGTAAGTATCAATGTATTTGTATTCTTGAATTCGAGCTGACGTCACATGCTTTTTATTTGTGAATGCGCGCGCAGCTGCAGTGAAAACAGTTCGTCGCTTCTCATTAGAATCACTGCATTGAGCACTCTATCAGAGGAGGAAATCTTTTGAATTTTTCTCTTCCTTTGAGACACTGTTGCTACCTTTTCTCTTCTCTTCTTTGCTGATTCAAACCGCTTCATTTTCTCTTGCTCTCTTTTAGCAACTTTTTGCGTGTACACAAAAATGGAAGGGACATAGTCTGGATGACGTGGATCCTTCTTCACTGGCTTCCCTTAAAAAAAATTACTCCTCTTTATTCCGGAGGGCGGAGTTTTATAAGAATTATTTTAATGACCTCTCCCCTCTACTTCCCCCTCGACTTCCCACGGTACCCAAGACCCTAGTGGTAATCGACTGTGCCAAGTTTGACCTGCGCCCAGAAAATAACGACAATAGTGAAGTGCCCACAGAGCAAACGATTCCAACCCTTATCGTCGAATATTTTATAACATGTTAATTTATATCTTGATTATACTCAAAATGTTTGTTAAAAAATCCTTATTCTCAATCACTATGCTTGTAATCATTATTGTTGTCGATACTGTAGTTATCCAGTGTTCATGATTTAATTGTATTGTCATACCCAGTGTAACTGACCAGACCTGTGACCACAAGACCCTTACCCTGTTGTAAACCAGAGAGCCAGTATTGACATTTCCCACGAAAGAACAATGTTGCCATATTCTTATGTTAGTGAATATTTTATGAACCATTTGAAATCTCAGAGAGCCGAAGTCACTCTGCCCTCAGCATCGGCTCAGGCAACACGTCAAGTTCCAGCTCTCTCTCGAGACCGCCT